GTGCCACAAACAAGGTGTGCTTCCGGATGAACGATCGTTCAACTGTGCTGTAGCTGCGTTTTGGGGCAACTTTTCTCGTGGTCGTCAACTTGTGTTGAATCTTGTGGTAATGAAGGGGCATCATTAGATTTAGATTTGGGTTCCGTTGCCGCTACAACGCCTGCATGTTGCAAAATGACAGAGGGGACGATCTGCAAATCTGCCGAAGGCGTTAGCTGCGGTTTGCTGCAGACAAGAGCCTGATCAACAGCCTTGTCTTTCTTAAAATAAACAATGCATTTAATGGCGACAAACAGTCGAAAAAACCTCAGCAGTTATACTAAAATCAATCGATATTATCATCTATTAAAAAGTAAGCAAAACTAGAATTTTTACTTGACAAATAAGAACTATTTTAACAGCAGACAAAGACTAGGGCAGTTACCGCCGAAATCCTGTTTCGTAATTTACACGTGATCACGTGCAGCATCAAAATATTCAAGGAGATGTTGAAAGAAATTCTATTCGTCATGTCACATGAACAATAAGCAAAGACAGATGTACACAGTTAGTGATGCAATAATATTAACAAATAATGTATAGCGAGCATAACGAATTTGTATCGAATAATAAACTAAGGATACCTAGGACACAGCGGGCGTATGTACGAGGGGGTAAACACAAGAAATGTTCGACAAATGACAAATGTCATCATACTTTGCTGATGCGCATGATGACATAAACGTACAGCTCTAGGCAACGTTATGTGGATTTGCTGGCGTTCCAAAGTAGTAGTAAAAATGTGATTGGTTTTGCGATTTTTAACACGTATAAAGATCTTCTAGTCTTCATGTTCCTTAGTAGCAATTTCCATCGATCATACATGACAAAAAATATTTAAAAATGACTTTTTAGATTAATACCGACGAAAATCTCAGGTTCATCCGTCTATCAAAAGTTACTTAATTGATGTATAAAATGATGGAGTCACTAAAAAGCAAATGGATGTCAATAGAACGTTTGGAAAGCTTCAAACAACAAATTGTACGACAAAGTGAAGGAGACATCCCAACAATCTAC